GGATAAAATGAACACCATGGCCTTTTAAAGACAAGTTATTACTTTTTTAAAAAATTACTCTTTGGCAACAAGGATGAGTAGGATTTCCATGCTTGCTTGGCATGTAGACATTCACACATACAGTTCCTAATATCTCAAATTTAAAATAATTAGGAAATAGATGGGGAAAGGATTTCTCTGTCTAGAATTCTGAAAAGCCATTTTTCCTTGAGGTAAACAACCTTGTATTCAGGTTTCCTTTTCTCCTTTTGTGTTCCTTTTCCACCAGTATTGTCAACTTTTAGATTGTAATAATTTTGGAACAATTTTGAAACCTTGACTAAACTGAAGCGCATGCAAAATGTTGTGATGGTGCTCGGTCTGTGAGACTCCTATTAATATTACCTAAACAGAGCCTTGATAGTACAGTGGTTTAGTGCACCCTGTCATTAACACAGCTGCCTGCAATTTCTGCTGGTTCGAATCTCTCCAAGGCTCAAGGTTGACTCAGCCTTCCATCCTTTCTAAGGTAGGTGAAATGAGGACCCAGTTTGTGGGGGCAATAAGCTGACTTTGTATAAATATACAAAAGTATGAAGGCTATTGCTTAACGCATTGTAAGCCGCCCTGAGTCTCCGGAGAAGGGCGGCATATAAATCAAATTAAAAAAAAAAATACTATTGATATAGAGTTTTGATATTTCTTGACAGAAGTTCACTAACTTATTCATTTTTAGCATTCCTTCTTGTATTTTTTTAATGGTGTGCACCTGCATGGTTGCTGCCTAGCCTATCTCTTTCTTCCAGTCATCACTGTATATTTATTTGTTCTGAGATTGCTGTATTTTCTTGAAATGTGGAAAAATGCTTCTTCTATGGGCTCAATTGTAGCTCTGTGGATGACTGCCAGCTTGGATCCATTGTATGAAATATTTAATACTGCTCTGCAAGCAGAAGGATTGTGTTCTTTTTAGATTTATCTCGGATCTTATAAAACATGCAAGAAGAACAAGAGGAAAAAACAATTTAAGAGGAATGAAGAAGAGTATTTGAATTCAAAGACAGTCGAGTTTTTCTTGTACACACATATGCATCATGCAAATCAGAAAATTATCTCTTGAAGTATCATGTAGAGAAATGATTTTTAATGTGATTCCAGATATTGCTTTCTTTTGTTAAAGATTGTAGAGGATTAGAAAGACAAGATTAGAAAGAATTTAGGTTTTAGTGTTTCTTCATGAAAGCAAAAATAAGAATGTGCTTCTTATTATCTGTCTGATCTAGCATTCTATTCTCATAGTGGCCAGCCAGATGAAAACACTTATTCACATGTGGGTTTGTTATACAGTTATGGTAAATAAGGATATTCAAAAAATGGACTGGTTTGTGCATGTTTGTGTGACACCTTGGATAACCTTATGATACTTTAATAGGTAGTATTTATTCTTGTGTCTTCAACAATAACAGATTGTTGTTGGGTTTGATATAAAACAGAGCCATCATTGTTTTAGTTAAATAAACTATAATGTTTTGCTATTTTTGAATATGAGATTGCCCAGCAACCAATTTAAATGACCAACTATGATTAGAGACCTTAATTTGAAACTCATCTGCAAGCCATTATGCCCCAATTAGCTGGTTGTGGTATCTGAGTGATCAAACTTGTCAGTTTATAATTAAGTGATTATGTCATCCAAACAACTGTTGCAGGCAGTGAATTAATACTGGGATTGAATACCAAACTCAGAATATGGCTTAATGTCTTAACAAGGGCAGGCAAATTCAAAAGACAAGTGGTGCCATCTCTTAACTCTTCTAAATCTACTTAAAGTGCAGTGAAGATTATTCTAGATTATTTTGTTTATTGTTAAATCACTTTAGATTAGTGTTTTTCAACTTGACAATTTTATACTGGGTGGATTTCAATTCTGAAAATTCTTTGCTTGCTGGGAATTCTGAGTCCACACATTTAAAGATATCAAGTTTGAAAAACGCCACTATTTTTCAGAATGGGAAGTTACAAGCACTGACATGTGTGAGTTCGATAGTTTACAGATTTTGTAGCCAATCGGTGATTGCCATTTTTGGCAAGGATGGTAAATTTTCTTGTTAACTAAGATTCTATTGATGACACATATCAACAATTTGGTATTTGAATTAATTATTGATTTGATTTGATATGCATGGCTGCTCACCTCACTCAATGCCAGAAAGCTAACAATGGATAACAATTAAAATGCCATCAAAGCAGCATAAGAAAAACTGTAAGGACAGCTGAAGTTAAAAACCCAATTGACAATAGCTGAAAACCACAGCCCACAAGGGCCTACTAACTAGCTGACTCTCAAGCCCATGGGGTTTCCTAATCATGGTAACAAATTGCTAGGATCAGATACGAGGTGCTAGAAAGCAGAGTGAGTTAAGATTCTCCAGCGAAAACAGATTTTGACATAAGTACAATGCAGCATTAACACTGTACAGGCAGGTTGCAATTAGTACAAGTTTGAATAGTGTAATACTTGATTTAGTGCAAATTGTAAGTTGATACCAGTTGACATTTGCACTTCCCTGGGGGTGGGGGTGGGGGGAAGTATGTCAAACTGAAGATGGTTCTGTGAAAGCAAAGCCAACAACTGTGTCAAAAACCAAGGAACTGGTGAGAAGGCCTGTTCCTTGGATCATGTCTGCATGTGATCTGGACAGCTGCTTCTCGCAAGAAGACCAAAGGAGGAATTTTCCATTTTCTGCGGGTTTGAACATTAGGAGGGGACAGGATCAACAATATTGATTGCAACTGGGGAAGAACTTTTTAAATGACATTAAATTTGCAAACCTCACTTTCTAATCATTTCCGGAAATTGCCTATTAACCATTGTAAAGCTTTTAGAGATTTTTCAAACAACAAATTTGAAAAAATTGAAAAGAATTGGGTTAGCTTATCTTCAATTCTGAACAAAAGGAATATTAATTATAAAACTAATTTTTTTTTAAAAAAAATCTGAAATAAATAGCCAAATAAGATTTTGATCTTAGAAAGTTAAAAATGGAATAAGGATCCAAGTAATTTCGAAATATTGAAACTACAATAAGACTTTAGAATTAAGTATAAAGAATAAGCAGTTTCTTGTCGGGAATAGATCTGTTTTAGTTTTTGGAAAGCATAACATTTTTGGCAAGGGTAGTAAAGCAAAAATTGGACACTAGAAGAATCTAAAGATTAGTTTAGAGGAAAAATGCAAGCCTGTAAAATATAAACTTTATAAAAATGAAAATATTGAAGGTATTCAGTTTTCAAAATACTTTTGAAAAATGGAGTCAGAAATTAATAGCCACAGTTTCAATAATGTCAATAATGATGTCTGCTTCTATGGACTGATTATGTCCAAAAAATGTTATTGAATAAATGACAGATGTAGGACAAATTTTATTGGACAAGGTGATGAGGCAAGAGAATGGAAAAAGGAATGAGCATCCTTATTAAACAAATTCCTGAATCCAAAAAGAGTGTACCAAATTTCAAATTGTTAAACAAAACATAGTATCTGTCTGGCACCAATATCATGAAGAACTGAGGTCTGGAATACATTATTCCTAAGAAGCATTAAAGATACTTGTTTAAATCATTTATTTTGACTGCAGACTTCCTTGATGGTAGGCAGTGGAATTTCTCATGTTTGGATTTGAAATAAACCTATTTATGGTATGGATTTATGGTATTTGTGACAAATGTTTTAATTAAATATGTTTGGAATATCAAGTGAATCAGGTGAATACCAGGTAAAATATATTATCCTGTCAGATAATATATTTTCCTAAAGGCATCAGATAAATATTCCATCTGATTTTTAACAAATGGAAACAAAGATGGAAGAATTTGTTGGAAAACATTAGGAATGTTCCAAGTGAAGCAAACCATTGTCTGGAAATGTTTCCCACCTCCCACGTTTTGTGTTTGGGGCAAGATAATTATCAAAGCCTGTGGAAGTTTTCTTCTTAATTATACATTATGTAACAGTTAGGTTTTGCAAATAAATAAGAACTTTAAAATGGTGTCTTGGATAATGGGCTGACAAGTTTATTTGAAATACTTTGAAGTTCCATATTTGTAAAAGTTGGATTATGTTGCCAAATTGGGTTTTATTGAACAGTCCCAGTTTTATTATGAAAGCCTGTTCACTGCCCTGCATGGATACAGATGACAAACATAAAAGTTGGAGATATAATGACCCAGAATAAACCTACCTGCTTTAATCTGTTTATCTCATAAAGCTTTATTACAAAACTGTTGGACTGTAGCTCCCCTCATCTTCTACAAAAATAGTCATGTTGGCTGTTGATTATGAAGATTGGGCACTGTTATTTTGAGAACAGTGTTGAAGTAGCTTGAAGTGGGATCAGTGATGAAACGGAGCCCACTGTAAAGAAAGCATCTGGATATTACTTTTTTTTTTAACCTAATGTAACTATTTTGCTTGGAAATAACAAGTGAGGAAATCCAACCAATGAATGAATGAATCAATCAAATCTTTATTATAGTTATAGACCAACACAATGAAGGTGGGATACAAGCAATAATTTTTAAACACCTAACATATTAAAACAAAAAATTCACAAAATTAAGAAACATAAAAAATGCATTTAAAAAATACTAGAAAATATAAAAAAAATCTATAGGCAGGGGTAGAGACATTAGATAAATATATGAAAACATTAAAACTAGTTTAAGGCACAGGACATCTGATGGATTTTAAATGCTGTGCAGAACCTGGTAACATGTTTATAACTAGTTAGTATTTGCAAGCAGCAGAGAAATATAAAATTTTCCTGTGCACCCTGGATATTTATACTGTAGTGGTGAAATGAAGCTAGCACAAATGTCTCTGTAATACAGGCCCTGGAGAAGCAGTGTTGTTTCTATATCTCCACAGTCACAGGGGCATTGAAGAAAACTCTGATCTGTTTCTGTTTTCACTTGCCTTTTCATTTTATTATTTTCTGTTTCCTGTCTCCCTTTGTCCCAAGGCAATGCTTGTTGTGCATGATACTGTTGCTCAGAAGAATTTTGACCCTGTTCTTCCTCCATTGTTGGATAATATTGATGATGATTTTGATGAAGAATCAGTGAAAATAGTTCGCCTAGTAAAGAATAAAGAACCTTTGGTATGTATCATTGATGCTGGTAAGAACAAAAAGCTATTAATGATTCCATTGCAATTAAAATAACTACTGTATGCATGAAGTACGGGACATTCTTTAGATGTAAAAATGATTCCAGATGAAAACAGAAAAGGAATGGAGAAGCAAAATTCTTTGTAGGGATGAATCTCCTTGGCAGTGTTGACTACTTCCAGCATGATTAACAGCTTCTCTCCTACCCATAAAATGTCCATGTTTTCATATTTGGATGACACAGTAAGCCAAACACCATCTGATTTAGTATGTTGTGTAAACATGGTTATTCTGTGAAGAAGTATTTTGACTCTTGTGCTCTAAACTGGCTGCCAATCAGGTTCATTAGTGATTTCATGCTAGTGTTTTGGAATCCAAAGCTGGTAGATCCTCATTCTCACTATGGCTAACCCAAACCAACATAGCCAATGGCAGGGCATTGTGGGAATTGTGATCCAATTCGTGTTAGTCCCTTATTCAGCAACAGTTGTTTTGGTTTTCTGTTAATATACAGATGTAACTAAAGATGTATTGGACTTTAAAGTCCTTAAATATTTGGAACTTATCTGATAAACCGTCTGTCTGAGCTTTAAGCTCAGCGTATATAACTCTGGGTTTTGTTCCAACATTCATATGTGAATAAAGAGGAAATCTATCAGTTTCTTAGTCTTCTATGTGAAATTAATTTGAACTCATTTTTACATGTTTCCCATATTTTAAATCTAAGAATTTTCTTGAACTTTTTCTATTAAAATACATATTTTCTGTGTCTCATATACATATTTTGCCAGCCATGTTCTTGATTTATTTTAAATTGTACGGGGTGTTCCCATAATTATATATGTCATTGTTGAGATGTGAACTCAGTTTCAGAATCTATAAAAGTAATTTCCCTGTAAGTAATGCATGAATTACATTTATGTTCAAGAACGGGATAGGCACATAGGAATTGATCATATACGTAGTCCTTGCCTAGCAACTACAGATGGGACTGGTAACCCTGTTGCTAAGCAACATGGTCATTAAATGAGACATGATGTGACCATGTTGTGTGATTTTACTGCCAGCTTCTCCATTGACTCTGCTTGTCAGGATTAGTCTATGAAGTATGCAAATGGAAATTATGTGAACAAGGGATGCTATAATGATCATACATACTTGCCAGTTATGAAGTGCCCAAATCTCAGTCATGTAACTGAGGAAGCTGCCATGATCATAAATGTCAGGACTAGCTGTAAAATTAGTTTTCCAGCACTGTTGTAGCTTCAAACTGTCAACAAACAGTGCTGTCGTTAAGTAAGTCTATATGTAGCATAAAAACATGAACTGGATATAGTTCATTCTGCTCTAGCAGAATCATCAGGGAATACTAGCATCTCCGGGAATGTCTTGATTTGGGATTGATTTACAGCCCTCTCTTTATGGGTTTCTAGAACTAAATATTGCAGCCTGCACTGGTTCATTTTAAAGTATAATGCTTCAATCTGCTGATGATATTTTATTTATTCTATCTCAATGGTGTATTGAATATTGTTATAGTATGATTATTCTTAAAAAAAGATATAACTAACCTTGTGAGGGCTTTTATCCTGAAAAAAAATGTAATATTCCTATTAATAAACAATGCTGTTATTAATAAGAGGAAGTATTCGGGGATCAGCTGGAATTGCAGCAGATGTAGCAGGACAGATAAAAGAAAACATTTCTTCATGCATCTTATAATAAATAGAATTCACTTCTTGGTTTAGGTTGTATTAAAGTGGACCCGGTTAAATTCACAGAGGATAGAACTAGCCATAGCTATTAACCGTGACAGCTACATAGAATTTCCAGAGGCAATGTCATAATGAATATTAATTGCTGAGTGGGATCAAAAAGTGAGAGGAGGCTGTTGTTTTCATATCTTGCTCTAGGTTCCCCACCAGCTTGTATTTGACCACTATATATACACGGAGCTTTTTCTTTTAGGCTTAATTGACCAAGCCTATTCTGATGTGCCAAGCCTAGAGCTGTGCACTGATGAATCTTTTGTTTCTCCTTTAGGGTGCAACAATCAGGCGGGATGAGCAGACAGGGGCTGTGATTGTTGCCCGCATCATGAGGGGAGGGGCAGCTGATCGCAGTGGTATGTTTCCCTAAGTTGCAAAATTCCTTTTTTTAAAAATTTCACACGAGAGAGGACCAGATTTCTCTGAGTCATCTTAGGATTTTTATTTTTCCTGAAAAACACATGAGGTTTTGATTCTCTTTGGCAAAGTCAGGCGGGTCATAGCACTAATGCTGGAAATTTTGGACATTTTTGAATTGGAAGAATAACACCTTTATTTATGTTTTCCTGTTCCTGAATTATATCCAGATTGATTTGCCAACACAAGCCTGCCAAATTAACTTCTAACAGATATACATGGTTCCAAGCATGAAAAGGGTGTATTTTTGGTAGCCTGCAAAATTCGAGGTGAAGTTGTAGGTTATAATTCTGAAAGATTCCTTTCTTATGGATTATTGCCACAGGAGTATCCAGAATTGTGTGGGTTACCCAAAGATTATTCAAAATGATATTTCTTGAAGGGTTACCAGAGCACTACCTTCCATGCTTTGTAAAACAAAGCTCTAGTGAAAGCTGAGAGAGATGATGAGTATTATTGATTAAATTGTTTGAAAATTTAGCCAAGGGCTGAATAAGTACAGTAAAGCAATTTCAATTTTTGATGAAGGGGGATGCAAAGTTCTTTTGAACTATAAATGACATATTAATATTTTAACTAAGTTGTAGAAGCTGTGGTTCCACCGATGCTCTTTCACTCTGCCTTCCATCATGCTCAGCCAGGAAGATCTGGTTATAGGGATATAGTCCAGGGATAGGCCACCCCAACGATGCCCTTGAAGTGATGTCCCAGTGCCTGGAGGCCGTGCGGGCCTGGATGGGGAAAAACAGGCTCTGACTCAACCCTTCCAAGACCGAGTGGCTGTGGCTTCCGGCGTCCCGATATAGCCAGCTGGCGCCATCGCTGGCTATTGGGGGCGAATCACTCGCCCCCACAGAGAGGGCTCGTAATTTGGGCATCCTCCTGGATGCACAGCTGTCTTTAGAAGATCATTTGACGGCCGTGGCCAGGGGGGCTTTTTATCAGGTTCGCCTGATACGCCAATTGCGCCCCTTTCTAGATCGGGACTCCCTACGCACGATCACTCAGGCACTCGTTACCTCCCGCCTGGACTACTGCAATGCTCTCTACATGGGGCTCCCCCTGGGGTGCACTCGGAGGCTCCAGCTGGTCCAGAATGCGGCCGCGCGGGGGATTATGGGAGCGACGGGGCGCTCCCATGTGACACCTCTCCTGCGCGAGCTGCACTGGCTCCCGGTGGTCTTCTGGATGCACTTCAAGGTATTGGTGACCACCTTTAAAGCGCTCCATGGCTTAGGGCCAGGGTATTTACGAGACCGCCTTCTGCCACCAATAGCCTCCCACCGGCCAGTACACTCGCACAGAGTGGGCCTCCTCAGGGTGCCGTCCGCCAGACAGTGTCGGCTGGCGACCCCCAGGGGGAGAGCCTTCTCTGTGGCGGCGCCCACCCTCTGGAACAACTTCCCCCCAGAGATACGTACAATAACAGACCTCCGGATTTTTCGTCGGGCCCTGAAAACTTATTTATTTCAACTAGCCGGGCTGGCTTGATCCCACAGTTTTGAGTTAATTTTAATTGATTTTAAATTGGGTTGTTTTAAATTACGGCCAAAAATATTTAATCATTTTAAACTGCTTTTAAATTTTGTATGTTCTGTTTTTATTTCGGCTGTTCACCGCCCTGAGTCCTATTGGAGAAGGGCGGTATATAAATGGAAATAAATAAAAAAAAAAAAAGGAAACCAAGACATATTTTCTTTTCACATTGTGCAGTGGAGAAGCTGACTCAGTAATTAGGGATTAGTAATTAGGAACAAGGAACCTATTATATAAGATTATGATTTTATAATCTGTATCCCATCTTCCTTCTAAAGCAGGAAAGGATTGTTATTTTAAGTTGTTTTTAGGGAATGCAGAGTTGCTTGGTGGCAAACTGTTCAGATTTAAAAACATACAAACAAAAATACATATGAAATTCTGCTGTGGGCTCAACACATGTAGTTACTGCCAAAACAGGATAAGGTTGGGAGAGATTGTGCCTACAAATCTCCATTTTGCTGCCAATTTCTGGTGGCTTAATCCTAGGCTTCCTGGAACTGTCAGAACTGGAGACACATATGGTTGCTGGCTTCTGCTCAAGACCATCCCATCTCTTCACCAAGCACTTTTCTCCTTAGAACAACATGCAAACATGAGAGAATGGCTGTTTTAAGATCATTTGATGAGCTTCACAGATGAGTAGGGATTAATTTCTGTTTCTTCTGGTCCCAGGTTTGGAAATGGGCTTTTAGTGACATTTTCTTAATTGGGATGGGACTTGCTTCTCTATTGTGAGCCATCAGAGTTGCTACATGCCATATATGGAGGTTTTGCTATCTAGAATGGATGGTTGATCTCATATTTTCTTATTTCCTTCCTAGGTCTTGTCCATGTTGGAGATGAATTGCGGGAAGTTAATGGAATTGCTGTACTTCACAAACGACCGGAAGAAATTAGCCAGATTCTGGTTTGTTTTGCCTTTTCCACACATAAGTATAGTTCACAAGAACACACTCAGCTATAAATAGCCGACTGCATTTTAGCGAGTACTCTGGGCAAAAATTGGGATACTGTGGTTAGATTATGGTTCAATGGGTCATGTGAAATCAGAAAATATAAGCTATAATTAATGATGGGCAAATTGGTAATGGCAGCTTGCTGAAGACTGCAGTTACATACAAACTTGCCTGAAAATAAATATTTTTTTATTCCTTGGGACTTATGTTTGAATAGATTCTGATAAGTAAAACTATTTCTCCACATAGTTGAGAAATAGTTGAATTAGTTGAATTATCAACTAAATAAGAAGATGGCATGATTATTTGGGCATTGTATTTCTAAAGGAAGACTGTTGATTTACTACAAGTCCTCCTTTGTTTGAGGTCTTCAACCAGAGACTAGATGGGCATCTTTCAGAGATGCTTTCGTGCAAAGTTTCCGAACCTTGGCAAATTTGAGATATATGGACTTCAACTCCTAGAATTCACTAGCCAGCTCGGCCAGCTGAAGTCTATGTCCCTTAAAGGTTAAGAAACACTGGTGTTTCCAGCTCTGAGCAGGTGGTTGGTTTAGGTGATTTATATGATATCTTCCCACTCTGATTCTGCTTATAAAAGCTGCTGCTAGTAGACATTACTTTCTTTGTTTCTTACTCACTCACAGGATGCATAATGAACATCGGGATTGTGTGTGTATATGTGTGTGTGTGTGTGTGTGTGTGTATGTATGTATGTATGCACACACACGCACAATCCAAATATACAAGTTTTGATTTTCATACTGCCAATTTAAAAGGATGAAATATCAATGAATCCATAAAACTTATTCCACTTGAAATCTTGGAGAAAATTACTAGTAAGGGTAGGTAATGTTGGGATACATGGAGAAATACTTTTGTTTTGGTGTAAGTTTTGCTGATAGGTTCCCAATGCTTCTAAAGAAAAAAAAATACTATTATTCTTGTTAGAGATAGAAATGTGGGGTCTAGTGGGTAGGTTTGTAATTTTAAGAATATGTGATAAGTGCTGTCACAAAATGACTGGCAAGTGGAGTGAAGAAGTGGAACAAGCCATGCATTTACCGAAAGGGAAGCAAACAGGAGAGCTTTCTGCGTAGAGCTTCCACATCTGGACTGCAGAAACATTGATAAGCAGCAGATGGCAGGAGACAGTTACCTTTTCTCTGTATATCTCAATTTCCTTTTAGTATTTTTGCAGGATTTTGCACCATGGATCTGGTTGCATCTCAGCCATTAACATTGATCTGGACTACTACATATTGTAGGTAGTTCCGGATAACTACAAAAAAGTAGTAGCCAGTTTTATTTTGATACCTAGTAATGGTTGTTCAAATGTTTGTGGCCAAGCATAGTAACTTCTATATGTGACCCAAATTTAATAGTTTTTCTACTGGATAGAGAATATTGGTAACACCATTGCCATTCAATATTTATTTTTTAAGGTAGCTTTTGGAATTCCGAAACAATCTAGAAAATAAAGAGAATGTTGGATGCTAATGTGAGACTAGGCCAGCTTCTCATTCAATTTTAATTAATTATATGAAAACTGAAAGGACAAAGCATCTAGTGAGTTGCAGTGAAAAAAGTCTGTGTTGGGACATAGTTGTGAATATGCCATATTCACATATGGCATATTCACAACATATGACAACTCCTAATATTCCTCCAAATTGAACATAATTGGTTATGGGTTAATCTACCAAAAATTAGTAAGAAAGCAAATGCCAAATAGCCATTGACTTTCCATAACTGATTTTTGTATTTTCCAAAAGAGTCTTAAAGCTGGAAATATACTCTCCAGTCATCCTAGTTGACATCTGTTTACTCTCTCCCTGCTTTAATTATGGAGTCACAAGCCATACCTCTTCCATGCCAGAGAGGAAATGACATGCTTGGTGACTCCTACACAGAGGGGCTCAAAATAAGATACATGTAACTGTTGCACTTGCCAATGACATTCTCAAGGTCTCTTCCAAATTAAGCAAATAGTGGGTGGGTAAGAATATAGAGTCACCAAGGGCACCTGAATCATCAGCATTGCTTTCCTTCCTTTTTTAAAAGGAAATAAGGAAATAAGGAAAAAACATCAAATATCATTGATTCCTCCATTGTCATCACAATGAAAAGCAGGATGTTCTAAAGAGGGTCATGAAGGAGTGTTTTTCCTTGAGCCAATGTGTTCTACAATTAAGTGTGGGCGTCTATGCTGGGACTGTATTGTGTTGCAATTTCTTGGAAGAATTAATGGAAGTTCGTTAATTTGGTGGAGAAACAGAGAAGTTGCTAGCCAAGGATTTCAAGTTCAACTCTTGGCATCTCCATCTAATGGGCTTGAAATCTCTACAATTCCCATTAAAAGGGATTCAGAAGGCTCAGTGAATATGCTTGTCCAAACACTATTAATGCTATCAACCAATTTCTTTATTTCACTCAATAAGCTGATCATAAGTTAACCAAACAAATTTAGCAAGTTGTTTGAACAACTTGCTAAACCCTATGGATACAACCTTCCCCATATAACCAAGGTTAAAAATAACCAAGGTACCAACCATCTCATGTAAATATAACTGATAGTATATAACTGATCTGATTAAGTACTATATGAACAGATCCATGGAGTCAATCAGAGTATTTAATACTGGACAAGATAAAAATCAACATAACTATATGAACTAAGACCAATTTGGCATAAAGCAACTATGTGCAGTAGGGTCTCTTCAACCAACAAGGTTTTTCTGAGGAAAACATGCAAATATTAGATTCTTGTCCACCCTCCCCAACCCCACCAACCTACTGCAATTATTGGTGAGATTTCAAAGCGTCTACATTTTTTATTTCAGAATAAAATCAAATCTGTTCAAGATGGTGGAGGAAAAAGCTTCTTTCGGTGGATCTAAAGTATGCCTATCTCTTTTCATGCCGTGTAGTGGCAAGATTAGGGTTAATAATTGCCATAAACTTGAGGAAATTCAATGTGTCTGGTCCTTCCTGAACATTTAGGAATGAGTATAACTGACCATTTTCTTCATTTTAGCTGTGAAAATGTTTTGCTGGTTATCATTAAGAATTTGACATTCAGTTTTAAGCCTGGATTTAAGGACACAGCCAAAAGAGTACAAGCCTTTTTTAATAACTAGAATTGAGTTTCAATATATTTTAAAATAATGTTTTTTTAAAAAATGGTTTGGGCATTTTATAAGGTTACAGTCCTAGAGTGTCTTTCTCCTACTATGTGGGAGTAAAGCTGTAATAAGCTGATTATTTTCAGTTCTTGTCTATTTTGTATATGCTTATTTGTCTGTTCATTCTGTCCTGCTTATGTAGAAATCTGTTTATTTCAGGGGGGTGGGGGTGGAAATCTACATAAAGATTCTTTTACAGTAATATACACATTTTAACACGCTAATTTAAAATATGCATTCTTACAAATATTTTGCTCTGTTTTCCAAATAAAGAACGGTTCGATGCTAGTATAGAACTGAGGACACAAAATACTCTTTCATGCATGCATTAGATTCAGAAGCAGAAATAAACTCCAAAATTCTTAAAATCCCTTTTTAGTAATAAGCCCAACAGATAGCTTTGGGTTTTACAGTATTTTGGAGGAGACACATACATGATTGCACTATTACTTTTAGTTTTGGGGAAAAGATTTCACTTTCATTTGTTGAAATTATAATTCCCCAAATTCTCAGCTATTGTCTTGCCTATGTTGGTAGGGATTCTAGAAGCTGAGATTCCTTCTGGAAAGGAACATATTATGGAAAATGGCTGTGGAAATTGTACTGCACTTGATTTTATGTAGCTGCGCTTAAATTTAAACTGTTAATCTGTTTATTTGTTAATGTTAAAATAATCCTGTAGTTAATATAATCGTTGGTCAGAGTTGAACTGAAAGGAATGTGGACAGTCACTTGATGACAGTACAGCTGTAGAATCCTCTTTGGTGAATCCTAGACTTGTGGTGGTTTGGAGTTTGCACCCCACTTCTCTCTACAAAAGAAAAAAATATGGTAGGGTTTAACTGTTCCTGCTGTGGAATAAGTTCAAAGATACCTGTGATTTAGTTTTTTTTTCCTGTGGACTAGAACAAGAGAATGTTCTGTGAGAATGTTTTAAAAAGAATTTAAGGAGGGGTGCAATTTACAGCACCTTAAAGAAATTGGCAGCTGCATTAGCAAAGCTGAATGTATTTGTGTGGGAGAGAGAAAAAGAGTGGGAGGGGGAAGACTGAAAGGATCATGTAAAAGAGAACAGCAAAGGAGCAGTTTTACCCATTTCCGTCTTTTGTCCTACTCACTTTGATACCTAGCTCTACCCACTGGTAATATATGTCCCTGAGAATAGGGGTGGGAAACCTGTGACTCCCCTAGTGTTATTGAATAGTAATTCACAGGATTCCTTATTGAGGCCGAGTTCCTTGTCAAAGCTTAACATATTTTCAAGTGACTGCATTGTCAATCTTGACAGTTCTGGATTCCGACATTGTAGAAGCTTCATTAGGCCTTAGTTCTAGAACTAGAACTAATTAATGCCCACTTTTGCCTGGAGAACTTCCCCCTCCTCCATGAAAAGCAGGAAATATAACTTTAAAATATCCCGTGACTCAGCTGGGAACGTCAGAGGCTTTTCAAAGCATTTTTTCTACAACCTTTTCAGCTGAAAAGGTGGTTAAAAAAATGCTTTGAGTTGCCTGATCGGCAGAGGCTTTTCAAAGCATTGTTTTCTGCAACCTCTTAAGGTTGTAGAAAAAATGCTTTTAAAAGTAAAAAAAAAAAAAGTTGGCCACGCCCACCCAGTCACATTACCCCCACCAAGCCATGCCCACAAAATAAGCCGCGCCCACAGAACCGGTAATAAAAAAATTTAGAACCCACCCCTGTATGGAACATACTTGGGAGTAAATCTTGGTTGAATTCAGTGGGGCTTTTATCTTGCTACAGTATACA